GAGCACACACTTTTGCATAAGCGCATAATCATAAGCATAAGGAATTTGATTGGTCAATTTCTTTATTCATAAGGAAATGGACCAATCAATTTCCTCATGCTTATGATTATGCGCTTATGAAAAAGTGTGTGCTCCCCGCTTTAAGCCTATCACACACAAATTGGCATAGCTGCATATGCATAGCATAAGACCGTCTGGACCAATGAGCATGCTATGTAAACCAATATGGCAATTTTATTTCGATACTCATTGGTCCAGACGGTCTTATGCTATGCATATGCAGTTATGTCAATTTGTGTGTGATAAGCTTTAGATTACAAATGGGCAGCTGCGGGACCAACATGGCGATCATGGGAAGCATGGAGGGGATAACGATGTCGCTTCTCTGATTATATAGGATTCTATCGTCTATCGCTCATCGCTCATCGCTCATCGCATCCAGTGTGCGAAGGCCATAACTCGGAACGAACCCATAATTTGTAAAGCCTTGTATCCACGATGCTAGAACTCCGAGTTCTCAAACCAAGAAATGTGTAACCAGTCAATTTACAGCTTTTATGAAAAAGCGGCATTTTTATTGGCATCTCTGCTCTCTTGTTGATTACAAGTCGCATATTGCACATTTGGGCACCACTAAAGAAGTTACTAAATGCACTATATTGGGATCAGTGCCTGTAATCGCTCCCAGGTCAGTGCAAATAACCGCACTCGGGTCAGTATTAAACTATGCACTCCAAACATGTGCGTCTGGTAATAAAAAGTTACTAGCCACTGAAACGGAGCGAATGCACATCAATCGAATTCGCCATAAGTCGATGGAAACGTTAAATTCGATGCGCACCGAAACAGAATCGTATTGATGACTTCGGTGGAAACCGCGGTCCTACGCCGCGCTAGATGCGAATTGGTGCTTCGGTGGAAACTAGACCATGGACACAAGGCTTAAATCCGTATCAGGATGCGAACTCATGCAGCGGAATAGCGTAACGCGGAACGAGAGCATGACCAATCGCGAGCGTTCTGCAGTTTTCGCTACGCTCAGAGTGCCATTACATGGAGGGCTGTGTTCCGATTCCCCACCCGAGTGCACCCAGACACCCAGAGAGCGTTCAGATTCTTCCCAAGTGCTCTTGCCGGACTCTCAAGTGAGACGTTCAAATTGTCACTCTATTCACCCGGGAGAGCATAAAAACCACCCGGCTCCGTAAGCCGGGTGGTTTGTGAGTGAAGATGAGTGGCAATAAGTGCGGGCAATATTGAAAAATCTATGGTCAAATTTCAATTTTGAATCTTCAATCACAATCTTCAATGCGTAGTCTGATACGGGCTTAACGCGGAACGAAAAGGGAACCAATCGCGAGCGTAAAGGTGCCATTACATAAAGCGCGGAAACGCGGATTAGCGTAACGCGGAATGAGAAGGGAACCAATCGCGAGCGTAACAAAAACTGCAGAATGCTCGCGATTGGTTTCACTCTCGTTCCGCGTTACGCTAATCCCTTAGAACATATATAAATGGAAGGGGAAT